ATGACCTAAGTACAAGACACGGGTGCGGCCAAACTCGCACTTCTCATCGTTGATCTTGAACTTGTGTTGTCGCAAAAGACTAAGGACTTTGTCCAAGTGTGCAACGTGCTCCTCGACAGTCTTACTAAAAATAAGTATGTCATCGAGGTACACGATGACAAACTTATCCAAGTAGTCATGAAATAACCAATTCATAGCGTGCTGAAAGGTGCCAGGAGCATTGCAAAGGCCGAAAGGCATCACCACAAACTCGTACAGACCGTACCTGGTCTGAAAAGCGGTTTTGTGTTGATCCTCGGGCCGGATTGCAATTTGACGGTACCCGGATTTCAGATCTATCTTACTGAAGTACTGACACCCTTGCACTCTATCTATCTAGGAAGTCATCGATGCGCGGTAGGGTCTCTCTGTTCTTGACAGTGATGGCATTGAGGCCCCTATAGTCGATGCACATCCCAAGTGTTCCTTCCTTCTTCTTAGGTACAAATAGGACTGGAGACCCATAAGGAGAAACACTCGGCCGGATCCAACCCTTTTCTACGAGTTCCTTGAGTTGCCGGCGAAGCTCATCAAGCTCGCCTGGAGACATCCGATAGATCCTTCCCTTTGGAATGCTAGACCCTGGGATAATCTCTATCTCATGGACGACCTCCCTCTCAACAACCCCTGTCAGCTCTTCAAATAGATCAGGGTATTTAGCAACTACTCTTTTCTATATCCGGCGGCATTTTCACCGGCTCGCCTACAGCAGAGACATAAACTAGATACATACCCTCCTCCTGATTTTGCTTATAATAATTATAGAATGCGGCCGCACACACGCATCCATAGGACTCGATCAGACTACTAGCTTTGAACTTACGTAATTTGGCGGTCCCTCCACCTGGCAAAGTGTGTTTGACCTCTTTTCGGTCCCAGTCAAACTGGGACTGTGCCACAGAGAGGTAGTACATACCTAACAAGATGTCCATGGGGAGTTCATCGCTCACTAGTAACGAGACACGATGTCTCAGTTCCCCTCCTCCGTACGGGAAACAACACTCAACATCCCGGAGGTAGTCGTTGACTACCATGCGTTGGTTGTTGGCACAGGTCGACTCCACAGGTCGACTCAGGCGCTGCACTTGCCCCTGTAAGTGCAGCCTCTCAATGCATGCGCGAGTAATGAAGTTCCGTGTCGAGCAAGTATCATAATAGGTCCCGACCTTGCGGCTGCCAATGACCACCTCGCTGACGAACATCTCACGCTTAGGGCCTTTGACCAATGTCGTCCAAGAAGCTAGCGGGTCTCATCTAGACCACTCCTCCTCTAGCTCCTAGAAGGACTCGGACACATTCATCGAATAGAGGCTCGATGGGTCTGAACATGTTTGCGGGACGACGATGGAGTCAGTAGCCTGGGCCATCTCTCGAGATGGTGAGGGTGTGTCCACCACCTCGACCCTAGCAGGAACAGGTACTATTCCTACTGGCACGACGTGTTTCCCGGAGCGGTGCCAGAACTGCTAGCCACATTGCTGCCAATGGGAGCGGAGGATGCCAACGCTTGCCCCATCGTAGGCGGGATCTTTTCGGTCACCTTCCTATTTCGACACTTGAATCGGTTATGGCGATATTGGCCACAACGGATACAAGCCTGCCGTGTGTACCGATCTCTCCACACGTCCTCAGTGAGACCCGCTTTCTCCCATGGAGGAGCATTGGGGTCAACTTGACTCCTTGACCGGGAACCTCCACGGCGTCTACTGGTCGCCTTGCCTTTTTGTGCTACGGCAGCGACTACTCCACCCCCTGAAGCCTCTACGCTGCCAGCCTCTGAACCTACTCCTGCCTGGAATTCGTCGTCCAACTCGATGGTAGAACCATCGTTGTCGACGAACATAATGTGGCCCTTCGCCTTCCAGTTGGGAGGCAGTGACTTCTTCCTACCATCCGTCGTGGGATTATGTCCATGCCCTATCTTTGCCTTAAGGTCTCTTTGCCTTAAGGTCTAGGGCCTTCTTGCTGAACAAGGGAAAGTTGTGCATATTGATGTTGGCATCGCCTGCCAACTGATTCCTGAGAGGCATGGGAAAGCATCTGAGGTAGGAGGTGAGTAAGACCTGGGGGTCATAGCGCACCCCGGGGACACGGATCCGACGCTCTACAGAGTCAGTGGCCTCCCTTACTGACTTAAACTGCCTCGTGTGCAGTGTCAGGATCGCATCAGTGGCCTTTTGGGCCTCCTGAGAATCGTGCCACCTGTCTTCCACCATCTTGAGAAAGTCCTCCAGTTTTTGTTGGGCTGCCCAAGTGCGGAAGTCGTGACCGTATCCCTGCAACTGCACTAAACCACTCAACCATCTTGCTGCACTACCCTCTATGTAGGATGCAGCCACAAGCACTTCCTCGTGCGGCAAGGTAAGTTGGCACTTGACATAGACCAGCACTGCCCTCAACCAAGTGTAGAGGTCTTCGCCCCTCTTATCCCCTGTAAAGGGTTTCGGAGCGGCGATGGCCGTCTTCGGTGCCCACTGACTTTGTCCCGGTCCCTGCATCACTCCGGGCTGTGGACCCTGTGATACAGGCTGCTGCACTGACTGTCGGGGCTGTGTACCCTGCGGATGTAAGGCTGCACGCTTACGACAACCTGCGACGGAGGTTGGGTAAACACTGTTTGTACAGGAACCTGTAAACTAGGACCTGCGGAGAACCCGCCTGTTAAAGGCATACCCAGGGAGACAGGCTGAACCGATGCTGGAGCGGTATATGAGGATACCCCAGTCACCGGTGGAACAAAAGGAGGAGGATGTACAATGAGCCAGACACCAGGCTCGGACAGTGATGGTGCCGCCTGCGCTCGTCCGACCAAGACAGCCAGACTCTGCTAGATGTCCTGTAAGATTGTCGTCTGCTGGTCTTGCATCTCTACTACACCTAACAAGACCGACCTCAGGGTCCTCACCTGATCATCCAACTCCACTGGGTCCATCACCTGATCATCCAGCTCCGCTGGGTCCATCTCCTCTAACTCACTAATGTCCGCTTGTCGCCGCTGCAACCTGGCTCTTCTTCTAATCATTCTTTCTTTTTCTGCCTTAATCTCTCCTAAAGCCTTCTCTAGCTGTGTCTCGCAATCAACAGCTCGCTGTATGGCGACCTCCTCGGGAGTCATCACTAACGGCTGGCTTGCCATAACGCCAGTGGACTGACTCTGGGTTTGTGCAACCGTTGACCCTACAGACCCTGAACTGCTGGCCTGGGAACTCTGCTGCGCAGCAGTTGCCATGGCCGCTGAAACAGCGGCTTCGCTTGCGAATGCTCTGCTGGTCTCCACTGCCCTAGCCCTCCGCTGCTGCTGCTGCCTCTCCCTAAGCTGGCGGAACAGATATCTGTCGCCCTCTGGTCCTAAGGCCAAGTGGGCTATCGGGCGTCTAGCCGATCACAAGATCCGGTCGTCCTCACTAGTGGTGTCCCTATCGCTCATATGCTACAGAAACGGCACACAGTCTACACTAGGACACACAATGGATGCCTACCACAGCGACATGTACAGACCGATATAAATAATCGGCGGCTATATTAGAGACTATACATTCGGGTCCAACAGGTAAGTTCAGATTCCTACAAATAAAACTATTTTTTAGTTTGACTAGTTCTCGAAGAGAATGCACAATGAACAGGAAACAGTTCTAATATGCTGTCTGTCAGATGTTAGTGGCTGTACTTCTAACTAATCAAAACATAAAAATAGAATCATTTGTGTGGATTGGGACAGTATGGAAATTTTCCCGAACTTATCACCTGAAATCTACCCCTCCCTCAGTTCCTCTTGAATGTCACTTGACGTCAGCGTCCCTGAGCTATCCAGAGAGCAGTGCGTGTCTAAAGGTGTGCAATCGGCCCACCCCTGTGCCCCGAGTCCTGCTGAACTGGCCAGCTCTAGCACATTGTTTATCCTCGTGTGCAGCGAGCCTTACACCGATTGGCTGATCAAGAGGCTAGTTAAGGACCGCCCCCAAGTGTCCTCAGGAAATATTTAACGTCGCAAACAGGACGACGATCACAGCCAATGGTTTCCCCTGCCGGTGTTTATTTATAGACGCCCGGTTCTCGTCTCCCACATAGGACTGGCCTGCCCCTCAGAACCCATCTAAGAGCGCAGCGAGCCGAACAAAGGACAAGCAGCAAAGCATGCGTGCTCTACTCCCGGTGGGTTGGCATGGTGACCGTGACCCAGTGCTTCGTCCAGGGCCCTTCAGAAAGCTCTGCCCATCTTCTCCCAGATGCTCCACGTGAACATTGCTGACTCTCAAGGTTGAGCGCAGTCGACTCCTCACAATGAGAGGACTCTCAAGACGGAACACACAACCTCACGGTAAGAAGTGTCGAAGAGGGTAGATAAGGTTAAGAGCAACGTACCTCAAATAGCTGCCCCCAACTACAGAGATAATCTCACCAGATGACCTGACGCCGATTGTGATGACCAGTCATTCCTTCGGCACAACCAGCATTACACGCCGTTCCACCTCAGCACCAATTGCACATCAGATAGTTCTCATCACACTGTCCAGAACCCACATTACACTGCATAGCCTTCCTGGCGAACTCCTGTCCACCTGGGTCGTCTGTTCTTGCCTTCGCCCTCCTCACTACACACGTCCCACGGCACGGTCGCTCACCGCACACACCGCGTGCATGTACCGCATTAGGCAGAAGACAAGCGCCAGATTAGCGCACCGTACCACAGCTCCGATACCAAATTGCAAGGAAGATGAGCAATAACTAACTTCAGCAATCAAACAGCACCATACACAGAAGACCCGATAGTCGTGACCTCAAACCAAGACCAGAATTGCATCACGAGTTTCACCAAATAAGAGCACAACAAAAGCTTATAATTGACAATGCTGGAATAGTCTTATCATCATCATCAACGAAGAACCAGCGTAGTCTTATCATCATCATCAACGAAGAACCAATGTTGATATCCTATCTGGCGCTCGGCGCCCAGACTACAGATGGCAGATCCTATCTAGCCTACTCTACAATGCCGCTGATGACGTCAACAGCTCCCCGAAGTACGAGCAGATCTCGGCCAATGCCTCATGCTTCAAGCACCAGGTATGTCTCTCGTATCACTCACAACCTGGTTCCCCACAGATGCCACTTGCACGCAAGGACCACCGTGTGCCCCATCCAGCATACAGCAGCGCAGCTCGGCTATGGCTGCCTGCTCCTTCCAGCTGGCACGTGAGCGCGTTAGCCTGGCAGGCGATAACACACCAGCGCTTGCGCACAAAGCAGCCAGTGCCCCCAATGTCCAATGCGTAGGCAGTCCCTTCCCTATATCGAAGTGGCCTGCGGCTGCGTACTGTGCTGCGGTACTGGGCCCCGGTCCAGAAGCTTCGGGTAGGCCCAGATACGCTGAGGCCCAGTCCAAACGAATCAGGCCCAGGGCCTGTGGTGGTTACTTGTGCCCAACTGCCCTCGGCCTGTGTTTGGCCTATATCCCGTATCCAGCCCAGGGCCTCCTTCCATACATGCAAACAGGCGGCCTGGGCCTGGTTGCTCTCAACCAACTGGCGCTGCGCAACTGCCTGAATTTTCCTCAG